TACATCACTGGGGATCCCCTAGAGGGCCCTGTCAATAGAATGATGAGCTCAGAAGTCTGGGGGGGTCAAAGGCTTTAAGAACTGAGTAGAAAAGCTATCAAGAACATTTTAGCACCAAGTGTGGTGACACTGGATAAGGCCAGGGGCTCAAAAGGGGCAGCCGGACCACAGCAGAGCTTTTTAGATGGAACCATGTTACTGGTGAAGGGGACAGGCCCAGAGAAGATAATCAAGTGTCAGTACATTCAGCAACTACTTTGTGTGGAAAGGACAAAGGGAGAGGAACTGCCTGGAAGTGAAGAAACAGAGAAGCTGGCAAGAGATGAGGGTACACTGAGAAATAAAATAGAGTCACCAGCTTCAGAACACGAGGCAAATCCTGCTTTCTGCCAAATGTTCCTTATACTACCCCGGAGGTGCCGAGTCTGACCCACAAGCCTATTTGGGCTTTGGCTGTGGCCCTCCCCAACCTCCAGCCCACTGTTCTTTGTCCCCCATCCTCAAACTCCTCCAACTCGTAACTTCTCAGTGTGCCTGTGTCCCATGTAGGTGAGTCACACAGGGAAGGACAAAAGCCCCCACCCCCTCTGCTGTGCTCAAGTGGGAGGCTCTGGCACTTTTCTCACTCCCCAGGAGAGTGCTCCACAGCCTTCTCTCCCCACAGACCCTGCCCAGTTTTTCAGACACATGACCATTGGGGAGTGGAGAGGGAGGGGCTAAGGAGAAGAATCCAGGAGAAGGGAAGTTAGAGTTTCCCAGGCTTCTTGGAGAAGGTTCATTTTCCACAGTACTCTTAAAATTAAAACACCCACTCAGATCATAAAATTTGTAATGCAATACAGAATAGTCCTACTTAGTTCACACATCGCTAGAATACTCATCAGGGGATTTTAAAGAGGGGAAAGAGAAGGTTATCTTATCCCACCGAATGGCTTGAAATCTCCTGCTGAACAAAATAAAAGGAAAACAAATGAACAGTACCTTACACGAACAGGGTCTACATCATTCTCTGGACAACTGAGAAATGAGAGACTCAGAGAGGCCAAGTGACTTCTCAGGGCCATGGCGGGTGGGAGTAGGAGCAGGAGGAACATCTCCATTTCCTGACTGTTCATGGCTCCACACTGTGGTGTCTCTCTGATCCACGGACTTCCTTTCCCCACAAATCAGCAGGAAACTCAAATCCCATGGAGGTCTTTTAGCCGCCTCACCCACTTCTCCTGGGACTCAGGCTGGGTCTCTCAACCAGTCTGACTGCTCTTGTGCCCTCTGAAAGGCTTCTAACCTCCCTGAGGAGCCTCTTCCTAATCCAAACAATGGGGGGGGATTTTAGCAGCTCAGCAAGTGGAAAGAGATAGAAAGAGTTTATACCCTCAAGGGCATGTTCATTTGGATCAATAAAAATTCTGGAGCCTCTAACTTTTGAATTGACCAGGGAAAAATAAGAGTAAGGCTCAGGCATACCAGTTTCCATACTTTATTCTTTTTTTAAAAATATTTTATTTATTTATTTATTTGAGATATATTTAAAATATATATAAAATATATATATTTTATTTATATATAAAATATATATATTAATATTTTATTTATTTATTTATTTATTTATTTTTAATATTTTATTTATTTATTTATTTGAGAGAGAGAGATCACAAGTAGGCAGAGAGACAAGCAGAGAGAGAGAAAGGGAAGCAGGCTCCCTGCTGAGCAGAGAGCCCGATGTGGGGTTCGATCCCAGGACCCTGAGACTATGACCCGAGCTGAAGGCAGAGGCTTAACCCACTGAGCCAGCCAGGCGCCCCTCCATACTTTATTCTTTAACATCCCGGCCCTCCAAATATCCTTCTGATTTTATGCTGGTAGGGTGTTTGTTTTCAGGACTTTTTTTTTCCCCCTTCTCTCTTTCTTATGTGTGTTCCTTCCTTAGCTTTTATAGGTACATGTAATATTTATGTGTCAGTGACCTTTCAAAGCACTTTTAGAGATTTAGCTGTTTACAGTTAGGAATTTTCTTTAAGGTCTACGAAGTCCTTTGTGCTTTTTCCAGGAAAGGCACTCAGTAAGAACCAAAACAAACAAGAGAATAACTCAAATTTGATTGGAGCCAAATCTCTTAAGAGAGTAAGAGAAAAAGAGTGAGCATTTGTTTTTGTTGTTTCTTTTGCCCTCCTCAACCCCGTCAAAGATACTCGAGCCGTTCCTACTTAACAGTGTGGTTCGGAATTACTTGAGAGCTGTTTAAGGCTAAATTCTAAGCCCTGTGGTGGAGAAATCTTGGCACTGGGAGATTTTGCAAGGGAAACCTCAGAAATGATGAAAACAATGTTTACTTCACTAAGTCTTTGGGAAAATTTGTCCCAGTATGTTTTATTATTTAAAAATTTTTTTAAAAAATTTATTTGACAGAGAGACAGAGAGAGCACCAGTAGGCAGAGCAGCAGACAGAGGGAGAAGGAGAATCCGGTTCCCCATGAAGCAGGGAGCCCGATGCGGGGCTCGATCCCAGGACCCTGAGATCATGACCTGAGCCAAAGGCAGACACTTAACGACTGAGCCAGCCACCCAGGTGCCCCTGTCCCAGTATATTTTACATTCTTCTCTACAACCATGTACGGTAGAGGACTATTATTGCTCTGGCCAAATTTTACATGCCTTTGGCAGAACTGGAGCTATACCATTTAGACATGTGACAGTTATACAAGCCTCTTAAGGATTTATCATAAGGCAGGGGGATGCCTATGGTCAGCGTTCAGCCCAAACTGACCAAATGGAATCATATTCAGTATTGCCTGCCCCCTTCCCACTCTCCCTTCCCAGCATGACTTGTCCTGTGAAAAAGTTTTCACGGGGTCAGGCAAGTGCAAGGACTTTCTTTAGTCACAAAAAATCCTGTGTTCACACCTCTTCCACTCTCTAGCTCTTTGATTTTGGACAATTACTTAATCTGTAGGAGTCTCAGTTACTCTGGTTTTATTGTAGCCATAATCACATCTGTATTCTAGAACAGCTGCGAGGATTAAATGAAACAATGGATACTAAAGCTCCTCGTACAGTTCTTGAAAATTTGTATCTCCCTCAACACACTTTAGCTTTCTCTGTTTATGCCACAAAGGTCTATGAGATCTTTCTTTGAAAGATTGCATAAGTCCAAAATGTCATGCCTCTTGGACACCATGCTTTGCAGAGCAAACCTCTGCTAATAATGGAACTGAGTTGCACATGGAGACTGACCTATGCAACTGACAGTTTTCCCAAATGAAAGAACTCTTCCCATGGTTCCTGCCGCAGCCCAGAGGAGTCCGCTCTCTGGGACAGTGGCCACAGCAAGATGACCGCTGTAAGCTGGCTGACCTGGGTCTCTCTCCTGTCCACAGTTCTGGCATTTCTAAAGTTTCTCAATGTTTAATAACAGAAATGACAGTTTCTCATAGGAAAACACCATCACACCAGAACTTTCAAGCCTGGGAAGTGTAAAAGGTCAACTGGGTGTGAGCTCCTGAATGTGCAGTATTAACCCTTCTCTTTTCTTCAAGTCTCTTGTGAGGATTAAATGTGATGTTCTCTAACATGCTATAATGGATGTACTCTGGCTAGCAGGCAGCTAGGATGTCACAAAAAAGGAACCTCCACCTCTACCTGTCCCTCCAGCCTACTGAGTGGACCTTGTAGTCTTCAGGATCTCTGGATTTGTTTGTTTGTTTGTTTGTTTTAAATGGTAAAAATTCACACTGAAGAGAACTGTGGTTTCACTTGAGACAGAATAATTAAAAAATGAATTTTTAACATTTAAGAAATCCGAAAATCTTACCAACAAATATGACTACAACAGAAAAAAAATATATGAGACTTTTTAAGTGAAACAAACAAACAAAAATCTAACCGCAAAGCAGACTAAAATCAAATGAGGACTATGAGTCAGTCCCAATAGGCAACTCTACTAATTATTTTGAAGGATTAGTTAATTTCAGTGTGAAGATATTTTTCTCTAAGATTTTATTAAAGAGATGCAGCTTCTTTATGAAGGTCAAATGAATAATACAGTCACTAGCCCACAGAGAAGATAAATATTTGTAGAATGAGTGAATGAATGGCCTATGGAGTTGGAATAAGAAGAAAAGACAGGCTTTTGGGATGTCTTCTAAATTATTTAAACGAAATCTCTTTGACGAGAGGCCTGAGGATTGAGGTTCTGGCTTTCTGGAGAGAAAGACTCTCTTGTATTTCAGCTTCAAGATGTGGTGTGTGTGCTCCATTTAAGGTAAGGACCAGTGACCCTGGGTTCATTGCCAAGACCTGGAGCAACCCACGTGTTGAAAGATGAGGAGGAAAAATGAAAAGGAAGTGGGCTAATTTAGCACAGAGATGAGAAGGCTAAGGTGGGCGATCATAAAACAGCATTCAAAAAGTATAGGAAGGACAACACTTCTCTTTAAAGATGCTTAAATCAAAGAGAAATGGATTTTGGTTAGGCATTAAACCTAACTGAGCTCCTAGGTTAGGACTTAGGTTTTCTTGTTGTAGCAAAAAAGCACATCACATAAAACTTACCGTTCTTCAGTGTACCACCTATGCGTGCTATTGTGCAATAAAAAGGAGTTTTTGGACAGTGAACTGAGTCAACTATGTTTGTTTTCTTTTTTTTTCTCTGTTCATCTCTTTCATTTTGACTGGAAGAGTTCAGTCTTTCCATCTTTGAAATTGTGAAAATAGCTCAGACTTGGAATCTTTAGGAGAGATGATGTCTTAAAGATTCTTTCTAGTCCAGACTCCATGTTAAGGCAGTGATGGGGCTGGCCCAACATGGACGTGGACACACTGATGAAAGAATGTTCCAGCTGCCTTGGGTAAAGTTAGAGACAGACAAAATGATGCTGAAAATGAACTCTAGAGCATGTAAACTCTGAGTCTAAATCATTTGATTTCAAAGCTGGGGAGGGTGCTAAGTTCTGCTTTCACCCAAAGCTTACAGAATCTGTACAGCTCCGTTCTACTAATTTTACCTTGGGTTTATATGCATTCAGCATTGACATCTCCACGTTTTGACCTCTGACGTGCTTCGGTTGCCTCTGGACAGGCGGGGATGAGGTCTTCTGGTTATTGCGGCAGACACAAATGAAGAAGAAGAGCAGAGCAATGGCCAGAGGAATGGCAACACTTGGCACCAGTATGTACAAGATTTCCATTTTATTCTTCTCCTTGGAATCCTTTGAATCTGGGTACAGAAATAAAAAAGAGCAAAAGTCACACTAGTTCGAATAACATGTGTAACATTACATCGCATAGTTGAAAATGACCTCCTCTTCTGTGCGTACAAACTCACTGGAGAAAAAAGGAACCATTACTTATTACAATTTGTTTCTATCAAACCTTCAACATAATTTATTGAAGTTTGAAAGTTTAAAGTTCAAGTGTTTAAAAATTGCAGAGGAACACTGTGAAACCTTCGCATGTGTGTGGGTCCCCCTCTGATGTTGCCTCTCTTCAGCAGCAGACCTGCATTTCTCTGACACCTTCAAAGTTAAACGTCATGTGAATGGACTGTATACACCCAAGAGCATGCATGTGGACCACAGGGATCTTCTTCCTTTGGCTGCTAGCCCAGATCAACCACCACAACGAGCTCTTCTAGAAATCATGCCCTTGTCTTAGCAGGTTTGGATTTACAGGGCCAGTCCTGCATCTTCCAGAATCAATGTGACCCAGGAATCCTAGTCCCAGGGTCCATAAAGCCAGTGGCCTTAGAATATGGGGGACCTGACTTAGAATATGGGGGGACTGACCTTAGAATACGGGGGAACTGACTTCTTGATGAACTGTGTGACCTTGAACAAATCCTTCACCTCTCGGGGCCTCACTTCTTCTCATCTGCACAAAGGAAGTATCTACTTTGATGGTGTCTACAGTTCCCTCCAGTACAGCATCACAGAAGAACTTGACACTTTTTGAAACCCCAGAACCCTTCTTAAATGATTTCATATGAGCCCAGTAATTATGAGTGCTAACACTCTGAAGTATATTTTTGAAATCTTTTACATCTACTTTACCATTGCTTGGGAGAGAATATAATATGTATAGGACACGAGGCATACTTTTAAAAGATTGATTTGAATCTAACCTTCAGATACTTTGGGAATACAATAATAAACTCTTTGACTTACCAAACAAACACAAGAATGATGGGCCATAATTAAGAGGGGTTACATAATAAATGCCCTGATCCCCAATAACCTCATCAACTATCTTGCTTTAAGAAACTCCAAAGGGTGAAAATTCAGATTGACCCCAAATTTGGAGATGATTATTTATTCAACCTAGAATTAACCATGTATCCATTCACTCATCCTCTCACATGTTTAGTAAGTCAATAAAAGCTACTGCTGCTAAGCACTATTCTAGATACTGGGAATGTAAAATTAAATACAGTATATCCTTTGCCTTTCAGCAGCTCATGGTTGGGGAAAAAGAACAGAGAAAAGATAATTACAGTATGCTGTTGAAAATGCAACAAGGGAAGTAGGAGTAGAGTAGTCAAGAGACCCAGAAAGTCCCTCTAAATAGTGAGCTTCCTTAGTGCATATAAATGAGAATATACCAGGAGAAAAACGGAGAGCTTTTCCACTAAGGTCAGGAACACGGCAGGGATGTCCATTATCACCACTGCTGTTCAACATAGTACTAGAAGTCCTAGCCTCAGCAATCAGACAACAAAAAGAAATTAAAGGCATCCAAATCGACAAAGAAGAAATCAAACTATCACTCTTCGCAGATGATATGATACTATATGTGGAAAACCCAAGACTCCACTCCAAATCTGCTAGAACTTGTACAGAAATTCGGTAAAGTGTCAGGATATAAAATCAATGCACAGAAATCAGTTGCATTTCTTTACACCAACAACGAGAGAAGAAAGAGAAATTAAGGAGCCAATCCCATTTACAATTGTACCCCAAACCATAAGATACCTAGGAATAAACCTAACCAAAGAGGCAAAGAATCTGTACTCAGAAAACTATCAAGTACTCATGAAAGATATTGAGGAATACACAAAGAAATGGAAAAATGTTCTATGCTCATGGATCGGAAGAACAAATATTGTGAAAATGTCTATGCTTCCTAAAGCAATCTACATATTTAATGCAATCCCTATCAAAATACTATCCATTTTTTTCAAAGAAATGGAACAAATAATCCTAAACTTTATATAGAACCAGAAAAGACCTCAAATAGCCAAAGAAATATTGAAAAAGAAAGCCAAAGTTGGTGGCATCACAATTCCAGACCTCAAGCTCTATTACAAAGCTGTTATCATCAAGACAGTATGGTACTGGCACAAAAACAGATATATAGATCAATGGAACAGAATAGAGAACCCAGAAATAGACCCTCAACTCTATGGACAACTAATCTTCGACAAAGCAGGAAAGAATGTCCAATGGAAAAAAGCCTCTTCAACAAATGGTGTTGGGAAAATTGGACAGCCATATGCAGAAAAATGAAATTGGACCATTTTCTTACACCACATGTGAAAATAGACTCAAAATGGATGAAGGACCTCAATGTGAGAAAGGAATCCATCAAAATCCTTGAGGAGAACACAGGCAGCAATGTCTTTGACCTCAGCCGCAGCAATGTCTTCCTAGAAACATCACCAAAGGCAAAGGAAACAAGGGCAAAAATGAACTATTGGGACTTCATCAAGATCAAAAGCTTTTGCACAGCAAAGGAAACAGTTAACAAAACCAAAAGACAACTGACAGAATGGGAGAAGATATTTGCAAATGACATATCAGATAAAGGGCTATTATCCAAAATTTATAAAGAGCTTAGCAAACTCAACACCCAAAGAACAAATAATCCAATCAAGAAATGGGCAGAAGACATGAACGGACATTTCTGCAAAGAAGACATCCAGATGGCCAACAGACACATGAAAAAGTGCTCCATATCACTCAGCATCAGGGCAATACAAATCAAAACCACGATGAGATATCACCTCACACCAGTCAGAATGGCTAAAATTAACAAGTCAGGAAATGACAGATGCTGGTGAGGATACGGAGAAAGGGGAACCCTCCTACACTGTTGGTGGGAATGCAAGCTGGTGCAACCACTCTGGAAAACAGCATGGAGGTTCCTCAAAAAGATGAAAATAGAGCTACCCTATGACCCAGCAATTGCACTACTGGGTATTTACTCTAAAGATACAAACGTAGTGATCTGAAGGGGCACGTGCACCCAAATGTTTATAGCAACAATGTCCACAATAGCCAAACTATGGAAAGAACCTAGATGTCCATCAACAGATGAATGGATAAAGAAGATATTACACACACACACACACACACACACACACACACACACACAATAGAATACTATGCAGCCATCAAAAGAAATGAAATCTTGCCATTTGCGACGACATGGATGGAACTAGAGATTATTATGCTTAGCAAAATAAGTCAATTGGAGAAAGACAACTTTCATACGCTCTCCCTGATATGAGAAAGTGGAGATGCAATGTGGGGGGTTTGGGGGGTAGGAAAAGAATAAATGAAACAAGATGGGATCGGGAAGGAGACAAACCATAAGAGACTCTTAATCTCACAAAACAAACGGAGGGTTGCCAGGGGGAGGCGGGTAGGAAGAGGGTGGGGGGGTTATAGACATTGGGGAGGATGTGTGCTATGGTGAGTGCTGTGAAGTGTGTAAACCTGGCGATTCACAGACCTGTACCCCTGGGGCTAATAATACATTATATGTTTATTAAAAAAAATTAAAAAATTATTTTAAAAAAATGAGAATATACCATACAGAGTTTTTGCTTGTACACACCTGCTTTGGGAACTTGTCATTCAGTGAAATATAGTAACTAAATCACACCAGCTTCTCCCTACAAGCAGACTCGACACACAAAGTAGGAGGGGGAGCCAAGAGCTGGGTGTTGGGGCTGTGCCGTGGGTTAATCCTCAGAGACGGTTAATACTCAGAGGAGTAAAATCTGCTTATTGAATATAATAAAAATAACAGGTTTAATATTTACTGAGTGTCTTCTAGAACAAAATGATGTTAGCTATTATTATTAATATGGGCCAGGTACTGTTGGAAGTACTTTTCATTAACTCATTAATTTTATCCTCACAACCAACTCCATATGAGGCAGGCGCCATCCTTATGCCCATTTTTTACAGGTGAGGAAGCCAAGGGAACAGAGTGGTTATGTAACCTGCCCCAGGATATGCAGCTAGTAATTCAAAAGCTGGGACTCCTCCCCTGGTTTCACAAAGGTAGGGAGGATGAGGGAGGTCTGAGTGGCGGGGTAGGAAGCTTTGCCACACATGTCGCTTTTGCACTCCCTACAAGCACTTTATACAGTGGCAAGTGACACATATCCCAGGCATCTCTGGAGGCCATTCTGGTAGTTCTCATCCTAGGAACTATTCTTGGGTCCTTTTGTAGTGACTGTCTGCATGTCTATGGGTGGATGGACAGAGAGAAAGCGATCACATGGAAAAGTGCTTACCACAGTGCCTAACAGATTGATAGATCTTCTATACCAGGAATATAATAGATACAGAATAGATCGTCTGTGTATCGGAGATCTATCTCTGTCTATGTGGACTCTTGAGAGACGATAGAACAGATTAAAGGAACTATGCATCTTAGAGTCAGAAACTTCTGAAGACTGCCCTTGTCATCATCTGTGCAACCTTCAGTAGGCACTAAGCCTCTCTGAGCAAACCCATCTGTAAAATGAGAAGTGTAATACCTATTTCATAGGGTTGTTGTAAACCGTAAATGAAAGAACAAAGGAAGTTATCTCCTCTAGTACCTACTACAACTCAGTCACTTGATGTTTTAGCCCTTACCCTTAGAGTAGAAAAGGATTCAGAGATAAAAACTTTGGGCTAGGAATTCTAAATAACCTTAATCAAGAAACAACCTCTCTGACCTCCATCTCCTCATTTACCTAAGGGGAATAATTGCTCTACCAATCTTACTTGGTTTTTGTGAGAGATAGTGTTCATGACAAAACTTCAGAAAATTGAAAACTGCCACACAGTTGTTGGATTATTAACATTATAAAAACACTTCCCAATTTCTCAGTACCTTAGTGTGTGCGGGGCTGGGGGTGGTGGGGATTCCCTCTTGTTATTCTTGGATTTTCAGTGAAATCATTACGAGGGTAACGATTACAAAGGAATGAGGTTAATTTAG